TTTTTTTTTTTTTTTTTTTTTTTTTTTTTTTTTTAAAAAAAACCAGAAAGGGGATCCGACCCCTTGACTTGGGGTTGTCACCACCAGGCTCTCCCTAGTGAGCCAACCGGCCATCCCTATCTATATAGGATCCGAACCCGTGGCCTTGGTGTTATCAGCACCACACTCTCCCGAGTGAGCCATGGGCCGGCCCAGGAATCTGATTTGAAAGTGAAAACAACGACTAAATGAATCACTGTGCCAAATTAACGAGTATACACGTCATTAACTGTGCCAGGTTAAATTTTGCTAAACTTGGCTATGTGTTCTCTGTTTTATCTTTGTAAACTGAAGTCATTTTGTACTTTAAAGAAATTAGAGATTACACTGGTAGAATAACAGATTTTAAAATTTAAACGTACAAGTCAGTACTTATTTAATGTTCCTTACTGAACGGTGCGTATTGCTTATGTCATTACCTGATAGTGAAATGTACACACACGCCCACGCACTCCACAGTGTGTACAGAGGCTGAACACAAGTACACCACGCTTCGCACACGCTGACACATACTAGACCACACCCGGACACGCTGCACACACGCATTGTGTGCACACACCAGACTCCACACGGACACCGCGCACACGCATTGTGTGCACACACCAGACTCCACACGGACACCGCGCACACGCATTGTGTGCACACACCAGACTCCACACAGACACTGCACACACACTCACACATAGCTTTGCACACAAGCGCTTCACACCCCTGCTTGTGGAGCTGCACATGGAGCTTCCCTGTGCAGAGAAATGCTGGCCTGGGTGTTTTGGTTTTTGTGTTTTTTCCCCACCTTCATGCAAAGGAGCAAAATGGCTTGGGTTTAAAATAGGATACAATTAAGATTTTTAAAGCTTTTAAGTTGAGTTTTTAAAGTGTCTTCAGAGGTTTTCTTTAAATACTCGTAATACAGATTTTTTTTTAAACAACCGATATAGTGGCTTTTAAAAAAGGAATGTCTTACTGAATTAAAAGTGAGCCTGACTGCTTTGATTCTGAACTCCGTCTTACAACATAGAAGTGTTTTTAATCGCCCTTTCTTTTTTCCTCTGGAACCCTGAAGCAGCTTGTTCCTGAACTTCTGCCAGTTGTCACGCGTGTGACAACATACGTGTGTGAGTTGCACGGACATCACTGCGCTCCCGCGGTCCCTGCGCGAGTCTCGGTCACCTGCGGGGCACGGGAGGGAGGGACACGCCCACACACCCGCGTCGCACGCGGGACCCCGGCCCGAGCCCCGCTTCTGCCGCCCGCTCTAACCCCAGACTCTCCGGCAGGCGGCGATGTGGCTGCCGCTGCTCTTGACCCTGCTGCTGGCGCCGGCGCCCGGGTTCTCGGTGAGTGCCGCCCTGCGCCGTCCCCGGAGGGGGGTCTGGACCCTGCAGGGGAAGAGGGGACACGGGGGGTGCGGGGACTGCAACATCCCCAGGAGAGGGGCAATGTCGGGGAAGATGGGATGGCGCCGCCGCTCCTGAGATCCTTCAGAAAGGGGTGGAGCCTTGAAGTCCCCGGCCGGTTCCGGGAGCTGCGGGACGCAGTGTGTAGGGATGGCCACTTTCCGCAAACTTCCCCATTCACAAAGTGCTGGGCGCACTCCACGGAGTCCCGGCTAATGCTGGAGATCCCCATCCCTCCAGGTGGTCTTCCAAGGAGGAAGAACAGGTCGGGGCAATGCTGGGACCAGCCAAGGTTCAGGTTAGGTGGCCCATCCCACCTGCCATCTCCCTGGAACCAAACACCATGTCCCTCAGCTGGGATGTTTTGACCTAGAGGTTTGGGGTATTGGTCATTTCCTTGCCCCTTGGGGTTAGCACCTAGAGCAGGACTGTTCACTAGAACCTTCTGAGATGATGGAAATGTTCTGTACCTCTGCGGTCCAGTAGGTAGCCACCGGGTCCATGTGGCTACTGAGCACTTAAATGTGGCCAGTGCAACTGAGGAACTGAGTTTTAATTTTATTTGATTTTAATTAATTTTAATGTAAATAATCACATATGGAGTTATCAGTGCAAATTTAGAGTGGATACGGGAAGCCAAAAGAATAGCTGTTTCATTAACGTGGGCCCAAAGGACAGGGCTCTCTGAAGAAAGTACCTTGGTCCTGAGGATGTACAGAGAATCTTCTAGACTGCAGGACCCATTTTTGGAGAGGAGAGGGTCTGCAGAGCTAGGTGTTGCCCCACTTGATGCCTAGCTGAATAGAGGACATAGAGGCAGCCAAGCCCTGTCCTGCCCCTGGTGAGCTCTCCATGGGGGAGATGCACAGTCCTGCCCACCTTCCGTGAGGCAGGCAGCAAGTCTGAGAGAAAGGACAAAACTGTTTGCTGCCTTGGGAAGGGCGGGGGAAATGTGGGTTGAGGATGAGAAGGGCTCCTCTGACCAGGGCTGTGTGGGGCAGGTGGGAATGGATGTCAGCAGTGGGCTTAGACACTCCCGTAGACCCAACACAGGCCACAGTCAGAGCGAGGGTTGGCTACAGCTGTCCTTCCTCATGTCCTCTCCACCACCTGCTGGCTTCCCACAGACCTTGTTCCCTAAATGTCACACTGTGAGGTTCTTCAGTGTGTGCTAGTGCCCCAGCTGCATGAAACCCAAAGCCCAGGTGGAAGGACCCTGTGACAGTGTCAAGACCCCAGGATGAAAGCCCAGAGCCACCCTGTAACAGCTGCATGACACTATGCAGATCTCCAAGCCTTGGATTTCTCTAATTTGGGGGTGATAATGCCCATCCCACAGGCTTTCATGCAGATGAAAGGAACCAACACTTCTCTCTCTCTCTCTCTCTCTCTCTCTCATGCACACGCACACGCACACACGCATGTGTGCGCACATGGGGCAGCTGGTTCCCTGGCAACAGCACAGCAACAGGGAAGGAGCTCCAGATAAGAGTTGGAGGAGGAATGGGTGGAGTGCTGAGAGCACACAAGACAGGTGAGGACAGGCCCATGGTGAGGTCAGGCTGCATCAGCTCATTCTGGCTTCAGCCCATCATGCAGCTCATGGTTTGGGTAACTAGAGAGAAACAAAATGTGCTCCCGCTACTCGTGACTGAGGCTCGTGACTGAGTGTGTTTCCTTTCCTCGGAGAGACAGTGTGGAGTAGTAGACAGCAAGGCTTTGGGGTCAGACTGACTGGTCTCCTTGATCCCACCTGCCTCACAAAGATGAAAGGTCATCTACATGGCCCTGTGTTCCAGCCAGTGCTTCCCACCTCACCCTTACAGCCATGAGGTGGCTGCATGGCAGGGTTGCCCTTTGTGCCTTGGCCCGGCCCAGCCCCAGGGAAGGATAGATTTGGGGAGGCCCAGGTTGCTGTGCTTAGGAGCCAAGACAGACCCCCCGAACAGGCCTTGGTCAGGGTATAATTAATAACCAGGCCCAGGTCAGCAGAGGAGAAAGCGGCAGCCCCTTGGGGCCACTTCCCAAATTCTTATGCTGTGGTGATGAGGCCTTGTGCTTGGGGGGGGGTGGGGGGTGGTAAGGGGGCAGGGAAGTGCCTGAGTCCCAGCCTGCACTGCTGGCTGTCCCTGCAAAGTCACCACCCACTCCCACCACTCAATATCTTCTCTTTTAAAATAGAAACTTGATCCAAGTAAATTTCAGTTTAAATTGCATTGAGAGAACACTTTGATATTTTGGGTGAAGGGTTTCAAAAGCTTGGAGGTTCTGTCCCAGTTAGAACTGGAGTAGATGATTTTAAAAAGTGAAAGCTAAGAACTTTGGTCTGGCCAGCCCTGCCTTCTTAGTTTTGTGGTTCAGCAAACTTAGTGTGGTTTTTTCTAGGTTCTGTTACAAAACAAGGCTAACCAGAGGTTTTGGTGTTGGGGGTGTTAGAGATGAGTACACCTCCCTCCTCACCTTGGATCTGTGAAGTTGCTCATGGCTTTTCTTTCTGTGAGCTTTCTCTAAAAAATAGGAATAATTTTTTCCCTAGAGATTCTTACATGGTGACATCCTCAAATAAAGTCCCCTTCCTGCTAACGGGACATTTTTACCGTACACCATCTGCCTCCCAGCAAAATTGCAAAGTTAAGTCTAGTATCTGTCCAGCTCCTTAGGACCAGTCTAGTGTCTCATCTGATTCCCTCAGAGGGGCAGGTGTGGGAGCACGGTCCCAGGAGGGGAACGGGGGGCCTGGAGTGAGGCTGACCTGCCTTTGTATCCACTCGTTCCTCCTCTGTGGTTTCCTCTCTCTCTGCCTCACTTTTCTTATCCCTGCAATGAGGTCTATCGGGTTGTTCTGAGGATTAAATGAGAGAATGTGTGTGTGTAGCAGGTGGACTTCTGATGCCAGCTGTGAGGTGTCAGATCTTTCTGGTGGGAAACTGAATCCCTTAGGATTACATCCCTGGTGTGGAGGCCTAAATAACAGCTCCTCGGCAAGACAGACTTGATCCCATCTCACATAAACACCCAGGAGTCAGGAGTCAGGAGTCTAGGGCTGTTCTGTCTCACAAAGTTTTCCAGGCTCTAGGATCCTTTTATCTTTGCTGTTTGATGCCTCAATTTCCAAGTTATCTCACAGTCTAGAAGGCTGCTCCAGCTCCAGCCATCATATCTGCTTTCCAGCCAGCAGGAAGGAGTACAGGAGGAAGAAGAAAGGGACAAATGCACATGCAAATTACACTTTTATATCTCATTGATGAGGACTTAGTGATGTAGCCACAGTTAGCAGCAGAAAGTCTCGGAAATGTTTTTTTTATTTATTTATTTTATTTTGAGCAGCCAGGTATCCAGCTAAGAGTCAAGTTTTCAAGAGTTTTCTCACAATGGGAAAAGGGGTGATGGATATTGGGGTACTCCTGGGAGTCTGCCACAGACTGGCAGGAAGAGACTACAACTCTCCCCCCACCCCAATACACACACACAGGAGTAGATTAAGCTCCTAGTTTAATAGGCCAGAGCTACAGAAACTTCTGGAAGTGAGATCACACAGGGCACAAGCAGGTGCAACAAGGCTTGGTGTGGCTTTTCCATTCTAGACCTTGGTGAAGTATGGCACTGCCTGCGTGTGACATTCGATGCACAGATAGAGCCCCCACCTAAGGACATGCCCTGTTCTCCCTGCCCTTTTACATCTCCATCTTGGAAGGGTTCATTTTGATAATCCATGGGCTCCCATTCAAGGAAATTTTGTAGACATCTTGGTTCTCAAAATTAGACTCTGCACTGGCCAGGGTATATGATTGTCAGGGGAGAAGTTCTCTGCCACTGCTTGGCTTTCTCCACCATGCCTGGCAAATAGTAGGAGCCCAGGAGACGCTGCTGGTGGTGGCTACTTGAAAGATGAGAAAACGATGTGTGAGCGAGGTTAGGTGAATGGCCCAAAGTGACACAGCTGCGTGCCCTGTCTTATGTTGCTTCTCTTCCTTCTTTTCTTTTAGGGTCCCCACCCCCACATCAGTGTTGACCCACAAATGCCTGTGCCCTCGCACTGCCCTGGCTGTAGGGTCCCTCCACTAGGCGGTCCCTGGAACTCCAGACTTTTCCCAGCTGCCTCACCTCCAGGCCTGGCTCTCAGCTCCTTATGATGAAAGCTGGATGATTTTGCAAATAAGTGAATCTTGGCCATGTTGCTGAGTCCTAAAGGGCTGACGTCAGAGGGAAGAACCCCGGGCTCTTTAACAGATTCCCCCTTGTGGGGGGCTCCAAATGGGTGATGCTGACTGTGCTCTCTCTATGAGTGGGTGATGCTGACTCATGCTCCTAAGCGTGTCTTCTTCTGCAGGCTCCCAAGGTGAGGCGGCAGAGTGACACCTGGGGTCCCTGGGGCCAGTGGAGCCCCTGCAGCCGGACCTGCGGAGGGGCGCTGACTGTGCTCTGTCTATGAGTGGGTGATGCTGACTCATGCTCCTAAGCGTGTCTTCTTCTGCAGGCTCCCAAGGTGAGGCAGCAGAGTGACACCTGGGGTCCCTGGGGCCAGTGGAGCCCCTGCAGCCGGACCTGCGGAGGGGGCATCAGCTTCCAGGAGCGCCCCTGCTACTCCCAGAGGTAGGAGAGACTAAAATGGGCCAACTTGTTAAAAGAGGCAGGTGCAAGGGAGGCTGGCTGCTGGGTGTCACCGGCCAGTGTCAGGCCACACGGGTAGAACCCACTAAAAACAGGTTCATTCTGGAAGCAGCACCTGTGGGCTGTGGAAAATCACATCATTTCCCAGGTACTTACACTCTGATTCCCACACTCAGCTTTATTTGGGAGGAGCTGGAGCACGACTGCTTCATCCTTCCCTGAGTCTCTAGCTCTTAAAGCAGTTCCAGGCGTATGGCAGGTGCAGTAAGTTTTTGTGGAATTAATGAGTAATCTTCAACCGGCAATCCCTAACTTCTGTGGTTTCTTTGCCCTCAGCCTCTTAAGGAATAGATGTTCCCCACTTCGAGTGATGTATTAAGCACTTACTATGTGTTGTGCACTCTGATGGGTTCGTAGAGGGTTGGGGTACAGAGAAAGGGTAATGAAACGTCTCCTGTCAGTGGTTGGTTAGTTCATTGTTCCTGGGAACCCCGTGTGAGGAGGAAGAGAGAGGAGGCACTATTCTAAGTGCCTTATACTTATCTACTCCTTAAGTCGCAGAGTAACCTTACCTGGCGGGTATGTATTACATCTTATTTTATCTCCAAGGGCAGAACTTGGTTTTCTCTGGAAATTTGCTTTAAGAGGCAGAGGGGTCTGGAGTTTACTACAGGATAGTGAGGCATCTGAGTCTTGCTTCTCCCGAGTACAAACACAGGGTTGATCACACCTCCCTGAGTGGGCTTACGTGTGAGGCACCCCTCCTCACGGGTGCTTTTCCCGGTGCTCCCGTCCGTCCGCAGGAGCGATGGAGGCTCCAGCTGCGTGGGCCCCGCCCGGAGACACCGCTCCTGCCGCACGGAGGTAAAGCCTGCGGGGCGGGGCGCTAACCCCAACCCCCTCCCCGGCTGTTAGCCCGGCCCGGGGACCCTCCTGTCGGTCCGCGGCAGGGGTACGCGGGGAGCACCTTCCTCGGCCCAAAGCCCCCGCGAAGGGGAGGGGAGTGTACGGGCCCGGGGCGCGGACCTCCACTTCGCCCGCTCCGGCCCGCAGAGCTGCCCCTACGGCGCCCGCGACTTCCGGGCCGAGCAGTGCGCGGAGTTCGACGGCACCGAGTTCCAGGGTAGGCGGTACCGGTGGCTGCCCTACTACGGCGGTAAGCGCCCCGCCCCGCCACCGCCTGCACCACCCCCGGCGCC